CTTTTTTGACTTGGGTGATGGTTGGAGTTTTTATGTAGATATCTATCTGTGTGTGTGGGTTTTCTGTAGACACACCGTTTGTTGATCTGGTTTGCGGATGACTAGGACATCTAGAAAAGGCAGTCTTCCTTCATTTTCTTTTTCCATGGTGAACTGGATGTTTGGGTGGATGCTGTTAAGATGGTCCAGGAACCTGTTGAGTTCTTCTTCTCCATGGCTCCAAATGGTGAAGGTGTCATCCACATATCTGAACCATATCGTGGGCTTTTTGGTTGCTGTTTCCAGGGCTTGTTCTTCAAAGTGTTCCATGTAGAAGTTAGCTATGACCGGGCTGAGAGGGCTCCCCATAGCTACTCCATCTTTCTGTTCGTAGAATTCATTGTCCCACTGAAAGTAACTTGTGGTAAGGCAATGGTGAAACAGAGCCGTGATGTCTTCTGGGAACCTCTGGTTGATGAGTGCCATGGTGCTTAAAAACAGTTAAGCAGTATGAACAACAACAATAAAACAATACATCAAGACACTATAAAACTGGGCCGGGCCAGGGTAATGGGTACAACATTAAAAGTACTGATGTGGCAGGAGGTATGCAGGATTATAAGTAAGTGCAGTGTGCAGAGTGCGGCAATCTTAATTCTACTAAAGTGCTTCTAGGACTTGGTATTGGAGATTCCTAATCTGAGAAGGCACATCGGAATAGCCAGGTCTTCAAGTTCTTTCTGAAGACTGCCAATGTAGGGGTCTGTCTGAGATCTTTGGGGAGGGCGTTCCAGAGTCGGGGAACCGCCACAGAAAAGGCCCTGTCTCGAGTCCTCACCAAGCGCGCTTGTGACGCAGGCGGGATCACGAGCAGGGCCTCCCCAGATGACCGAAGTGAACGTGTGGGTTCGTAGACGGTCACACAGGTAGGGTGGTCCCAAACCGTTCAGGGCTTTGTAGGTAAGCACCTGCACCTTAAATTGGGCTCGGAAAATAAGTGGCAGCCAGTGGAGCTCCTTGAACAGGAGGATTGACCTCTCTCTGTAATGAGCCCCAGTTAACATCCTGGCTGCTGCCTGTTGGACAAGTTGGAATTTCCGAGCCGTTTTCAAGGGCAGCCCTACGTAGAGCGCATTGCAGTAATCCAATCTAGAGGTGACCAAGGCATGGACCACCCCAGCCAGATCAGCCTTCGCAAGGTACGGTCGCAGCTGGCACACAAGTCTCAATTGTGCAAAAGCCCTCCCAGACACCGCCGACGCCTGAGCCTCAAGCGTGAGCGATGAATCCAAGAGGACTCCCAAACTGCGGACCTGTGCCTTCAGGGGGAGTGTAACCCCGTCCAACACAGGTTGCCATCCTATACCCCGATCCGGTTTACGATCGACCAGGAGGACCTCTGTCTTGTCGGGATTGATCTTCAGCTTGTTCCTCCTCATCCAGATAGACAGAGCGGCCAGGCACTCGTCCAGCACCCGAGAGGCCTTCTTGGAATTAGGTGGAAAAGAGTAGTAGAGTTGTGTGTCATCTGAGTAGAGATGGCACCCGATTCCAAAACTCCGGATGACCTCTCCCAGCGGTTTCATGTAGATGTTAAAAAGCATGGGAGACAGAATAGAGCCTTGCGGGACCCCACAGGTCAAAGGCCAGGGATCCGAGCAGGCGTCTCCCAGCTTCACCATCTGGGTTCATCCCTCCAGGAAGGACCGGAGCCGCGACAAAACCGTGCCCCCAAGGCCTATCCCAGAGAGACGACCCAGAAGGATACCATGATCGATGGTATCGAAAGCCGCTGAGATGTCCAAGAGAACCAACAGAGTCACACTCCCCCTGTCCAGCTCTCTACGAAGGTCATCCACCAAGGCGACCAAGGCTGTCTCGGTGCCGTGACCAGGCCTGAAACCAGACTGTGACTGATCTAGGTAGTTGATGTCATCCAAAAAGCCTTGGAGCTGGGAGGCGACCACCCGCTCCAGCACCTTGCCCAAAAAAGGGATTGGAGATCAGTCTGTAATTGTTCAGCACCGTGGAATCAAGGGAAGCCTTTTTGAGAAGTGGACGAACCACAGCCTGCTTCAGAATAGAGGGAAAAATCTCTTGCTTCAACGATGCGTTAATGATCAACACAAACCAATCATCTAACCCCTCCCTGGCTGTCAGGAACACCGCTGGGTATTTGAATAAAACCAAGCTCACAAGCGTAAATCCTGGAAAGTTAGTTTATTAATATCATGGCTCTAAAAAGCGCATGGAAACAATAACCCTAATCCAATCCTTTTCATTAAAAGGATATGCTGGAGACTCTCAGTTAACCAGAACCCATGTGGACATGTCAATCAGTGTTGTTTCTGGCTGCTTTTTTTCTTTCTATTTTTATTATTGTTTTCCCTTTCTATTTTTAGTCCTATTTTAAATTTCTATTTATTTTAATTTTTCTTTCTATTTTTATTATTGTTTTCCCTTTCTATTTTTAGTCCTATTTTAAATTTCTATTTATTTTATTTTTTCTTTCTATTTTTATTATTGTTTTTCCCTTTCAATTTTTATTCCTATTTTAAATTTCTATTTACTTTCTATTTTTATTATTGTTTTCCCTTTCTATTTTTAGTCCTATTTTAAATTTCTATTTTCTTTCTATTTTTCTTTCTATTTTTATTATTGTTTTCCCTTTCTATTTTTAGTCCTATTTTAAATTTCTATTTATTTTAATTTTTCTTTCTATTTTTATTATTGTTTTTCCCTTTCAATTTTTATTCCTATTTAAAATTTCTATTTACTTTCTATTTTTATTATTGTTTTCCCTTTCTATTTTTAGTCCTATTTTAAATTTCTATTTTCTTTCTATTTTTCTTTCTATTTTTATTATTGTTTTCCCTTTCTATTTTTATTCCTATTTTGAATTTCTATTTACTTTCTATTTTTATTATTGTTTTCCCTTTCTATTTTTAGTCCTATTTTAAATTTCTATTTTCTTTCTATTTTTCTTTCTATTTTTATTATTGTTTTTCCCTTTCTATTTTTATTCCTATTTTAAATTTCTATTTACTTTCTATTTTTATTATTGTTTTCCCTTTCTATTTTTAGTCCTATTTTAAATTTCTATTTTTTCTTTCTATTTTTATTACTGTTTTCCCTTTCTATTTTTATTCCTATTTTAAATTTCAATTTTCTTTCTATAAAAGGTAAAGGTTTTCCCTTGACATTAAGTCCAGTTGTGTCCGACTCGGGGGTGTGTGTGTGTGTGTGTGTGTGTGTGTGTTTGTGCTCATCTTCATTTCTAAGCCAAAGAGCCGGCATTGTCCATAGACACCTCCAAGGTCATATAGCCGGCATGACTGCATGGAACATTGTTACCTTCACACCAGAGCAGTACCTGTTGATCCACTCACATTTGCATGTTTTTGAACTGCTAGGTTGGCAGAAGCTGGAGCTAACAGCGGGAGCTCATGCCGCTCCCTGGATTCGAACCTGCAACCTTTTGGTCAACAAGTTCACCAGCTCAGCGGTTTAACCCACTCCACCACTGGGAGGTCATTTCTTTCCATACTTTACTCCTATTTTCCCTTTCTATTTTAATTACTATTTTTTCTTTCTATTTTTTATTCCTATTTTCCTTCATTTTCTCCTATTTTAACTTCTATTTTCTTCCTATTTTCCTTATTTTTCTCCTAATTTTCTTCCTATTTTCATCCCTATTTTTATTTCTATTTTATTACTATTTTAATTTCTATTTTTCCTTCCATTTTTAATTTCTATTTTCCCTACGTTTATTCCTGTTTAAATTTCTATTTTTATTCCTATTTTTAATTTCTATTTTTATTCCTATTTTCCTTAACTTTCCTCCTATTTTAATTTCTATTTTATTCCTATTTTCAATTTCTATATTTATTCCTATTTTTAATTTCTATTTTTAATTTCTATTTTCCCTGTATATTTCTATTTTAATTTCTGTATTTTATTCTTATATTTTAGTTCCTATTTTTAATTCCTATTTTATTCCAATTTTAATTCCTATTTTTTTTTCTATTTTTATATTCCTATTTTAACCTCTATATTTCTTCCTATTTTCTCTACTTTTCTTCCAATTTTTCTTCCTATTTTTAATTTCTATTTCATTCCTATTTTAATTCCTATTTTCCTTCCATTTTAATTTCTATTTTCCCTATGTTTATTCCTACATTAATTTCTTTTTTATTCCTATTTTTAATTTCTATTTTCATTCTTATTTTCCTTATTTTTCCTCCTATTTTAATTTCTATTTTTATTCCTATTTTAAATGTCTATTTTATTCCTATTTTAATTCCTATTTTTCTCTCTATTTTTGAATTCCTATTTTAATCTCTATTTTCCTTCCTATTTTCTCTACTTTTCTTCCTATTTTTCCTCCTATTTTAATTTCTTTTTATTCCTATTTTTAATTTCTATTTTCATTCCTATTTTCCTTATTTTTCCTCCTATTTTAATTTCTATTTTTATTCCTATTTTCAATTTCTATATTTATTCCTATTTTAATCTCTATTTTTCTTCCTATTTTAATTTCTATTTTTCTTCCTATTTTCCTATTTTAATCTCTATTTTTCTTCCTATTTTAATTTCTATTTTTCTTCCTATTTTCTCTATTTTTTCCTACTTTTCTTCCTATTTTAATTTCTATTTTTCTTCCTATTTTTCCTCCTATTTTAATCTCTATTTTTCTTCCTATTTTCTCTACTTTTCTTCCAATTTTTCTTCCTATTTTGAATTTCTATTTTATTCCTATTTTCTCTATTTTTCTTTCCCTCCTATTTTAATTTCTATTTTTCTTCCTATTTTAATTTCTATTTTTCTTCCTATTTTTCCTCCTATTTTAATCTCTATTTTTCTTCCTATTTTAATTTCTATTTTTCTTCCTATTTTCTCTATTTTTTCCTACTTTTCTTCCTATTTTAATTCCTATTTTTCTTCCTATTTTTCCTCCTGTTTTAATCTCTATTTTTCTTCCTATTTTCTTTACTTTTCTTCCTATTTTTCCTCCTTTTTAATTTCTATTTTTCTTCCTATTTTCTCTATTTTTTCCTACTTTTCTTCCTATTTTAATTTCTATTTTTCTTCCTATTTTTCCTCCTGTTTTAATCTCTATTTTTCTTCCTATTTTCTCTACTTTTCTTCCTATTTTTCCTCCTATTTTAATTCCTATTTTCCTTTTCTATTTTTATTCCTACTTTTTCTATTTTTCTTTCTATTGTTTACTCATATTTAAACTGTTATTTTCAGGAGAGAATGCCTCTAGAACATGGCCATATAGCCCAAAAAAACCTACAACAACCTATTGTTTTCCCTTTCTATTTATATTCCTATTATTTTTTCCTTTCTATTGTTTACTTCTATTATAATTATTATTTCCCCTTTCTATTTATATTCCTATTTTTCCCTTTCTATTTTGATGCCTTCTAGCTTAGGCCTCCCCCTCGGGCCTTCCTGGCAGGGCCTCCTCCGGGGCCCACCCTTTCCCTTTCCCTTTCCCTTTCCCTCCCTCAGAGGCCTTCAGACCTTTCTCTGGGAACCCTCTTCTCTTCGTTCCCTGGGTGCCGGTTGCTCGAGGGTCCCCCCGGCTTCTCCCCTTCCCTTCTCCCCTTCCCTTCGCTTCTCCTCACCTTTCCGTCCGACTCCGTCGCTGGCCGCAAGCGACACGACCGGAAGCTCGACGCGAAGAATGCGCGCTTCTTCCGGCTTGGAAGCGGGTGACGTCACGCCAAAGAGGGAGGGGCCGCTTCCTCCTCCTGTTGGACTCCAACTCCCAGAAGCCTCCGCCGTCTCAGGCCATAGTGAGGGCTTCTGGGAACTGGAGTCCCAAACTCTTCAAAGGCCTGCGGATGGGTCCTTCTCCAGCCTTCCCTTTCATTTGAGAATGGAGAGGGATTGGAAACAAGGCAAGCGGGTTTTACATGTCTGGAATGATGTCCAGGGAGGGAGGAAGGACTCTTTGCCTGTTGGAGGCAAGTGGGAATGTTGCCATTGGCCACCTTGATTAGCACTGAATGGCCTCACAGCTTCAAAGCCTGGCTGGTTGCTGAATGTTGCCATTGGCCACCTTGATTAGCACTGAATGGCCTCACAGCTTCAAAGCCTGGCTGGTTGCTGAATGTTGCCATTGGCCACCTTGATTAGCACTGAATGGCCTCACAGCTTCAAAGCCTGGCTGGTTGCTGAATGTTGCCATTAGACACCTTGATTAGCATTGAATGGCCTCGCAGCTTCAAAGCCTGGCTGGTTGCTGAATCTTGCCACCTTGATTAGCATTGAATGGCCTCGCAGCTTCAAAGCCTGGCTGGTTGCTGAATCGTGCCACCTTGATTAGCATTGAATGGCCTCGCAGCTTCAAAGCCTGGCTGGTTGCTGAATCTTGCCACCTTGATTAGCATTGAATGGGCTTGCAGCTTCAAAGCATGGCTGGTTGCTGAATGTTGCCATTAGACACCTTCATTAGCACTGAATGGCCTCGCAGCTTCAAAGCCTGGCTAGTTGCTGAATCGTGCCACCTTGATTAGCATTGAATGGGCTTGCAGCTTCAAAGCATGGCTGGTTGCTGAATGTTGCCACTGGCCACCTTGATTAGCACTGAATGGCCTCACAGCTTCAAAGCCTGGCTGGTTGCTGAATGTTGCCATTAGACACCTTGATTAGCATTGAATGGCCTCGCAGCTTCAAAGCCTGGCTGGTTGCTGAATCTTGCCACCTTGATTAGCATTGAATGGCCTCGCAGCTTCAAAGCCTGGCTAGTTGCTGAATCGTGCCACCTTGATTAGCATTGAATGGGCTTGCAGCTTCAAAGCATGGCTGGTTGCTGAATGTTGCCACTGGCCACCTTGATTAGCACTGAATGGGCTTGCAGCTTCAAAGCCTGGCTGGTTGCTGAATGTTGCCACCTTGATTAGCATTGAATGGGCTTGCAGCTTCAAAGCCTGGCTGGTTGCTGAACCTTGCCACCTTGATTAGCACTGAATGGCCTTGCAGCTTCAAAGCCTGGCTGGTTGCTGAATCTTGCCACCTTGATTAGCACTGAATGGCCTTGGAGCTTCAAAGCCTGGCTGGTTGCTGAATGTTGTCATTGGCCACCTTGATTAGCACTGAATGGCCTTGCAGCTTCAAAGCCTGGCTGGTTGCTGAATGTTGTCATTGGCCACCTTGATTAGCACTGAATGGCCTTGGAGCTTCAAAGCCTGGCTGGTTGCGGAATGTTGTCATTGGCCACCTTGATTAGCACTGAATGGCCTTGGAGCTTCAAAGCCTGGCTGGTTGCTGAATGTTGTCATTGGCCACCTTGATTAGCACTGAATGGCCTTGGAGCTTCAAAGCCTGGCTGGTTGCTGAATGTTGTCATTGGCCACCTTGATTAGCACTGAATGGCCTTGGAGCTTCAAAGCCTGGCTGGTTGCTGAATGTTGTCATTGGCCACCTTGATTAGCACTGAATGGCCTTGCAGCTTCAAAGCCTGGCTGGTTGCTAACTGTTGCCATTGGCCACCTTGATTAGCACTGAATGGCCTTGGAGCTTCAAAGCCTGGCTGGTTGCGGAATGTTGTCATTGGCCACCTTGATTAGCACTGAATGGCCTTGGAGCTTCAAAGCCTGGCTGGTTGCGGAATGTTGTCATTGGCCACCTTGATTAGCACTGAATGGCCTTGGAGCTTCAAAGCCTGGCTGGTTGCTGAATGTTGTCATTGGCCACCTTGATTAGCACTGAATGGCCTTGGAGCTTCAAAGCCTGGCTGGTTGCTGAATGTTGTCATTGGCCACCTTGATTAGCACTGAATGGCCTTGCAGCTTCAAAGCCTGGCTGGTTGCTAACTGTTGCCATTGGCCACCTTATTTATTTATTTAGCAGTTTTGTATACCGGTCTTCTCACCTCCATCAAGGGACTCAGGCCGGTTTCCAACAGTAATATCACAAACAGTCATTAAAAAACATCATATTGCATATTAGACTAAAAACATTAAAATAGCAAAATGCAGTCATATAATTACAATGGTCAGTCGTCACAATAAAATCGTTGTTCGTCATCATCCATCCATATCACAAAATATCACTCACTTGTCGAAAGCCAAACTCCACAGCCAAGTTTTCACCTGTTTCCTGAACGTCAAGATAGAAGGGGCAGTTCTGATCTCCAGTGGGAGAGAGTTCCAGAGCCGAGGGGCCACCACGAGAAGGCCCTGTCCCTCGTCCCCACCAGACGCGCTTGTGAGGCCGGTGGGACCGAGAGCAAGGCCCCTCCAGACGATCTTAACAACCTAGATGGTTCATAGGGGAGAATACGTTTGGACAGGTAAACTGGGCCGGAGTCATTTAGGGCTTTATAGGTTAACACCAGCACTTTGAATTGTGCTCGGAAGCTAATTGGCAGCCAGTGGAGCTGGCACAACAGAGGAGTAGTATGCTCCCTGTACCCTGCTCCTGTTAGTCTGGCTGCCGCTCGTTAGACTAGTTGGAGCTTCCGGGCAGTCTTCAGAGGCAACCCCACGTAGAGAGCGTTGCAGTAATCTAAACAGGATGTAACCAGAGCATGGACTACCGTGGCCAAGTTAGACTTCCTAAGGTACGGGCGCAGCTGGCGCACAAGGTTTAATTGTGCAAAAACTCCCCTGACCACTGCCGAGACCTGGGGTTCCAGGCTCAGCGATGAGTCCAGGGTCACTCCCAAGCTGCGAACCTGCGTCTTCAGGGGGAGTGTGACCCCATCCAACACAGGCTGTAACCCTATGCCCTGTTCGGCCTTGCGACTGACCAGGAGTACCTCTGTCTTGTCTGGATTTAGTTTCAATTTGTTCACCCTCATCCAGTCCGTCACAGCGGCCAAGCACCGGTTCAGAACTTGAACAGCCTCCTTAGTAGTAGGTGGGAAGGAGTAACAGAGTTGGACATTATCTGCGTACAGATGACACCGCACCCCGAAACTCCAGATGATCTCTCCCAACGGCTTCATGTATATGTTAAACAACATGGGAGACAATATTGAGCCCTGAGGAACTCCACAAGACAATGGCCGAACTCAAGAACGGAAAACAGAATGTTGACGGATAGGAAAAGAGATTGAAAGACGGTCTCAAAGCCAACCTTTAAAACTCTGGCATAGACACTGAGAACTGGGAAGCCCTGGCCCTGGAGCGCTCCAGCTAGAGGTCAGCTGTGACCAGCAGTGCTGTAGAATTTGAAGAGGCATGAATGGAGGGCGAAAGAGAGAAATGTACCAAGAGGAAGGCGTGTCAAGCCAACCCTGACTGAGACTGCCTTCCACCTGGAAACCGATGCCCTCACTGTGAGAGAAGATGCAGATCAAGAATAGGGCTCCACAGTCACCTGCGGACCCACCCTGGAGAATTATCCTACTCGGACAACAAGGGATCGCCTAAGGAAGTATATTATATTAACGTGTGTGTGTGTGTGGCATGGGCAAATCTTTTGACCAACATCCCCCCCCCCCCGAATCAAAATCCTGGCTACTGGCCTGTCCTTGGTGTTTCTATTTCCATACATCAGTCTACCAATATATTTTAATACACAGCCCCCAAGCACCCATTTGTCATCAATATGTAACATATCCAGCTCATGTACACCCACAAGTTTTGAAGCTAAAATCTTAAAATATATGAACCCAGGAAAACATTGGACTTCGGGAGTTGGTAATGATACGAAGACCTGCTCATTAAGTCTACAAGTGAACTATAATTCAAGGTTGATTGTTTGGAAACCAGAAATAACATGGCATAAAAAGAAGACATTTCCAATTAAAAGCACTTCCAATTGTCAAAAGAAAGGAGACAAGACCTATAAATGACCATATAATTGTAGAGTTCTAGAAATTAATGCCTGTTTTCTATCATTTCCAAGACATAGATTAATTGTTCTGCTGTTACATCCATTTGAAAAGGATAGGATAGGTGTACTTTATGCTTCTAGCAATAAATCTACATGAGTGTGGAAATAAGGCGAAAACTTCTAGTGGCAAATTATTATTTATTACATATTACACATTAAAAACATAAACGTCAATTATAAAACATACACAAATGTCAAAAACTGCATCGTATTCAACACTCACACCAACCAGCTTTTAAAAGCCATCAAATGAGCCTGTGTATGTGATTGCCCTCTCCAGACGAACTTAGATCTCTAAGTGGCTCATAAAGCAATATACAGACCTTCAAATAACCTGGTCCTGGCTTTATAGGTCAAAACCTTTGCAACCTGGAGATTATGGGCTCCACATGTAACCAACCAACAGAATTCTAGATGTGCTATTTAAGGATTTTTGATGTTTGGCTTTCTATAGTAAAAAGGAGGAGCTTGGAGAGCTACTTACCTGGGCTTCTATTAGTCTTTATATTTGTTCTCCACTTCTGGGATGTTTTCAATATGAAGCAAATAAATTAAATCCCTGATCTAAATCCAATATGATGCCACCAGGCAGTAAAACTTGATGGTGTTAAAATTAATGGGGTGGTGGATCAGTAAACATTAATGAAGCTTTCCAAGATGCTGAAACCAATATAGATTCCATCAACTTGGCTCCTCATAGCACTGAAATTAGTAGGAGGGCCCCTGCCACACTACGTGGCAATGAAAACCAGGTCTGCTGTAGCTGGTGAGATTGAGCCTCCAGAAATTCCTTCCATCAAGCTGGCCTTTGCATTTGTCTGACTATTTTAAAAGTTTGTCTTATTTTAGAACTATTTCAAAAGGAAAACAAATGGAGTGGTTTA